AGGGAGTCTTCCCAAGGGATTAATAAAGTCCAAGTCCAAGTCTAAGTCTAAAGAATAGGACTAACGGTGGCCTGGGGGAGTCACCCCACCCCACCCTCTCACTTGTGTGGTCAGGATCATGTCGTACAGGTCCTCTTTGGGGGCGGGGGGTGCCACCGGGGCGGGGGTCCTCCGGGCCAGCGACAGCTGCCTGAGGCTGCCCCGGAGGCTGCGGGCGCGGGGCTTCGGGGGGGGGGAGCGGCCCAAACGCGCCCGCTGGTCGTCCAGCCGCCGGGCCTGGGCGGTGGCCACCAGCTCGAAGAACTCCTCCTTCTGCAGAGACGTCATGGAGGAGAAGACCACTGCAAAGGGGAGAGGAGGGCGGGAGTTTAACCCAGGGGTTGGGAACCTATGGCTCGCGAGCCAGGTGTGGCTCTTTTGATGATTGCATCTGGCTCGCAGATAAAACAAAATATTCTAACTTGTATACAAATACAAAACACAAATCCATCCATCGATTTTTCACTGCTCATGTCCTGTTCAGGGCTGCAGGAGCAGAGCGCTCTGTGCAGGAGTAGTTGTCCATTATTTTAATTGGATGATACTGGACTACGTTGGCTGTTGCAGCGTTAAACAGGTAAACGCACCCTTTTGAATCAGTCCGCTCGGCCATTAGCTCAAAGCTAACCCTTTGACGAAGAAGATGGCGAAAAGAAAAAAAGACGAGTATCGTACATTTCAGGACGAATGGACTGAAGAATTCGCCTTTGTGGAGAGAGCAAATTCTGCGGTGTGTCTAATTTGCAATGACAAAATTGCATCGATGAAACGGTCGAATGTAAAGCGGCACTTCGACACGAGTATTATAACAACATTATTCAAAAGAATAAATTCAGAGGCTTATTATACTGACATTTAGTTGAATTCACTTTTAAAATATATTATATGGCTCTCACTGAAATAAATTTCAAAATTTTTTGCTTTCATGGCTCTCTCGGTCAAAAAGGTTCCCGACCCCTGGTTTAAACGAGAGGCTCTCACTTAGAACGGCGGGAAACCCAGCTCAGAGTCTTTAGCCTGAGAAAATCACTAAACATTAACAGAGGTGAGAGGTCGCCACAAGCCAGCCTATGAATGACCCCCCTGACGTTAGCTTTAGCGGCTTTAGCTCCAGACCAATCGATGAAATGCATAATTCGATCCTTATTTGGAAAAAAACTAAACAAAAACCCTAACCTTAACCCCCAAACCCAGCTCAGACGTATGTCAAATGTATATAAGACACCTTAAATCTCTTCTTTATTTATTTAGGACACAGACCTGTGGGTTAGGAGATGCTAATGCTAATGCTAATGCTCGCGTGGGATCGGACTTTTAAAACAATTAATGAAGCCTCCCTTTTTTTTTAGTTTCACAGGTCATTCAGACTTTTCAAAGCCGCACTATAACTGCTATAATCCTGTTAAATAAGTTATATTATAGTTATTATAATATCTATATTATAATATAGATATTATATATCTATACCTATTTTATCTGATCTGACTAAAGCCAGCAGAATTAATCATCATCATTCATGTGAAACTAAGATGGACAGAGATACCCTAGCATTAAGATTTTGATAGTTATTGGTAGACAAAGATTAGCAAAAATAATAATAATGTGAGGAATGACATGCTCATATAAGATTAAATGACAAAACATGGACACAAATAATACATAAATAATACTAAATTATGATGATTATAAAAATATTCTTAGGCCTCATTCCACATTAGTAGGAGGTGTATAAGACTCTCTTCAATAGGAAGTGATATGATCGATGATATAGTCCCAGATTAGTGTAAAATTGGACACACAAAAGATTTCCAGTGTCTTAATACGACTCTGATATAAGGCTGATGTTGCTCCTACCATAAGAACAGATTTTTGTATTTTTTATTATTATTATTATTTATTACGTTTTACATATCAGTAACGAGTAACGATTCAGCCCGGGAAAGTAAAAGTATTAAATTAATCAAAAATATGTAGTGGAGTAAAAGTAAAAGTAGGGAAAAAATATATACTCCAATAAAGTACAGATACTGCATTTTGGTACTTAAGTACAGTTTTTAAGTAGCTCTACTTCGTTACTGTACAGTGGGGGAAATAAGTATTTGACCCCTTGCTGATTGTGCAGGTTTGCTCACTTACAAAGAATGCAACGATCTATAACTTTAATCATATGTAAATTCTAACAGTGAAAGACAGAATCCCAAAGAAAATTCCAAAAAATCACATCATATGAATTTATGAAAATTGATAACATAACCATCATAACCATCTGATGAGGAAAAATAAGCATTCTTTGTTTTCATGTCTGATCCTTCCCTGGTCACAAACTTTTGGAAACCCTCCCCTCTGGCAGAAGGTTGAGGACCATCAGGACCAAAACCTCACGCCATAAAGACAGTTTCTATCCAACAGCAACTGGCCTCATCAATGAGGCCAGCGACCCCC